TGAGAATGTAGATTTGGAGCCAGATTTTATGGTATCAGATCCTGGATCTGCCTCTCACTTCTGGTTCTGCTTGTCACCTGCTATGTCTTTTTTTTTGGGGGGGGGGCGGGTGTGGGACTGGGGATTGAACCCTGGGGTGCTTAACCAGTGAGCAACCTCCCTGGCCCTTTTAAAATTTTTATTTAGAGACAAGGCCTCACTAAGTTGCCTAGGGCCTAAGTTGCTGAGTCTGGCTGTGAACTCGCCATCCCCCTGCCTCAGCTTCCTGAGCTCCTGGGATTACAGGCGTGCACTACCATGCCTCACTTGTTATGTCATTTTACGTCTCATTTTTTCCTCACCTATAAGTTGGGGATACTGATGGTATTTGCCTTCAAGTACTACTATAAAGAAATAATACATGTAACATATCTATATCTCTGTAAATCTTTTAGAACATATCTGATATACAGAGAGTACTTGCTGTTATTGTCTGTGAGCATTTCACTCTTCTATTGTATGGCCCATCAGTTAAGAACAGATTTTACATTTTTAGATCATTGCAAAGATCATCATCATCATCATCATCATCATCATCATAATTATTATTATTATTTTGTGACATATGGACATTATACGAAGTTCAAATTTTAGTGTTTGTGAAACATAGTAGTGATTCCCTTTGGCTCATTTGTTGATATACTGCCTGCAGCAGCTTTCACATCGCCACCACAGGGTCGAGCAGTTTGACAGGGGCCACCTGACCAGCTGAGCCTGAATTATGTGCTCTCTTATGCTTTATAAAGGAGCATTTTTGATCCCTGTGTAGAGCACAGACACTGAATTATCATGCTTATTCAGGTGTCACTCTCTGGGGCTGTTGATGGCACTTGACCTAGGCTGGTCCTTTCCATTCTTCCATGCCCATTCCTAAGTTGTATTTGTCAGGAATATGTAGTAGTTTGTAGTATTTGTATTTGTGCATGGTAAGTGTGAGTGTATGTTTTAAGTGAATTTGTGTGTGTGTGTGTGTGTGTGTGTGTGTGGTGCTGGGGATTGAACCCAGGGCCTTGTGCATGTGAGGCAAGCACTCTACCAACTGAGCTATATCCCCAGCCCTAAGTATAAGTTTTGAACCACAGTTTCCAATGTGATCCCTGAATGAGCCCAGGCACCTTCCTGCCCCCTATTCAGTGGGGAGGTTCACACATTCAGTCTCCCCTCCTCTGCCATCCTGCAGGTGGCCTTCTTTGGGAACTGGGTAGCAGTGTATAGCAATAACGTCTTYGCTTTTGTTTGGGGAGTGCAGGGAGAAGGGGACACTTGCACAAGACATTTCTTATGGATCATCATCAAATGTTTATTTGAAATTTAGACACAGAGGAAATGGAGCTCTTGTTATTCACTGTATGGGTGTGCATGTACGTGTGTGTTTAAAGAAGAAAGGGCTTTGGTTACCCTTGTATGAATGATTCACTTCTACCTGGATTGTGTCTTCCTAATCTTTGTTACAACAGATTGTAACTCAAGTAGCCTTTCTTAAACTTATTTCTCAGTAAGCAAATCAATGAACTGGACCAAAAAAAGTGTCCCATTTAGAAAAATTCATGCCATCTTTTAGAAGTCCTACTCTGTCATACCTGTGGATCTTTTAGAAGAACCATGTTGGTTTGTAGCTGTATTACACCTGGCCCATGGTTGGTGCCTAGAGCACAGGTATGCTGTTGTGTGGCAATGCGAATTGGTTTTGAAAAGGATATGTGCCTGCAGACCATCACATTCGTGAATTCAGGCGTTGGAAGGTCTTTGTCTATGAATTGATAGTAACATGTTCCCATGTTCAGTGCCTGATTTTATATTTGTACCTAGGATGAAGAAATCCTTTTTTTTTTTTAAAGTCCTTTCAGTACTTATTGAAGTTTTATGGCCCTTCATAATAGTAAAAATTGCTTAAGTTATACTTGTGGTATAAATGATAATATTGACCATTGATTAGATATCTGTTATCCTAGTTTTTAACAGATAAACGAATAGATGCAGAAGGGCCACGTAACTTGCCTAAAGTTCYACAATGAGTCAAAGGCTTCTTGTGTACTGATATGTTCATTGATGGACATCCATAATTAGTTATAATATGGATAAATATTTGCATTTACTTTTTTTATACTATGCTGTTTTATATTATTTTGTTCATTTTTTTTTAAATGGGGTGTGGATTGGAGAGGGTTAATTGCTGCCTGGGTATTCCTTAGCTACCCTGGCCCTAGTATTTCCTAAGGTCCTAAGACCAGATAACCATATTCTTCTCTCCTGTGCACTTTACCTGTATTCTTATCTCTCTGTTGTGTCTAAGACTTGAAAGGAAACTTAGCTCTTTGACGGCTGACTTTCTGAATTGTGCCATGGACAGGTGGAAGATGAGGTCCACGCCTGCCCTTTGATTTTACTGAGAGCAGGTAGAAAGGCTTCTTTGTTTCAAAAATTTCCCTGTGCTTTGCTTTCTGAAGCACCACCTCTGGAATGTGACATCCTTGTCATCTGTGTGTGCCAGACACCATCACTGCCCACCACAGTGGCAGCTTAGAGTAGAAAATCAGCTTTGTTTTAGATACACCCGGGTGACAGTTTATTCTTTACAGATTCTGCGGTAAAAATGTAGCCATACTTTCCCTCTTGTAAAGTATGGGAGCTCAGGGAAAAGGCACATGTTGAAAATCATTAGTTGCCCAAATATTATTATTATTTAAAAATAGGTAAGGAGCCAGGTGTGGCACCAGTAATCCTAGGTACTCAGAAAGCTAAGGCAGGAGGATCATGAGTTCATGTCCAGCCTCAGAAACTTAACAAGACACTATCTCAAAATGAAAAATGAAAAAGAAAAGCTGGGGATGTAGCTCAGTGGTAAAACTCCCCTGGGTTCAGTCCCCAGTACTACAGCTATTACTATTACTACTACTAATTAAATACAAATAAGCTATTACTATTACTACTACTAATTAAATACAAATACAAATAAGTAAGGAATTGGAAGGGGAGCAGAAAGGGGTCATACAAAGTTTTAGGAAATTTTAGAATGCTCCACTCTTGCATCTCAAGCTCATAGAAGTGATATATATATTTTAAAGTGAGAAATGAAGAAGATATGATTATTGGTTATGAAATATCTTGATTACTGGCAGGAAGTAGGATTTTTAATTTCTGTGGTGATTTCATATATGAAGAGAATTATTTGCTGTGAGATAATAATACCGCCTTCATTCCACCACACTTTATAGTTTTCAGGACATTTTCACATGGTATTATATTATTTGATCTCTATAGTAACTTGTGGTTTAAGGGAGGTTGAGTAGCTAAGCCAAGGGCACCAGGCAGGTAAGGAACTGCTCCTCACGTTGAGGCTTCCTGACTTTCTGTGTGGTCACGACCCAGTTGTGAACAACTTGTCCTGATACAGGAAGGCACACGTCTGCTATAGTGACTGGAGTGGGATTTTCTGGCCTCAGATACTGGAGCATGTTAATCAGTGGGAGTTGATGTTACTTGTCAGCCAGGGACAAGAGTTCAGGGATTCTATAAGCTTTCTCAGCCCAAATACTGAACTTAGACACAGACCCCAAAGTGCCTTTATCAGTAAAAAATTAATGACCAGAAATACAGACTTGGCACCTAAGAGCTGAAATTGATGACAAAAGACCTGCTTCCATAATGAAGATGGAAAGATGTCACCCGATGAATGTGAAGAGTAATGAAAGAGTCAGGATGCCCAGGTTCTAGGTGGCTCTGTACCACATGCTGGGTGCTTGCTGACATTTAAAAAAATTTTAAAACATTTGTTTTAATTAGTTATACATGACAGTAGAATGCACTTTGATGCATTGTATATAATGGAGTGTAATTTCTCATTCTTCTCGTTAACGCATTATGTAGAATCMCACTGGTCGTATAGTTATTTACATACATAGGGTAATAATGTCTGATTCATTCTACTGTCCTTTCTACCTCCATACCCACTCCCTTCCCTTCACTACTCTCTATCTAAAGTAACTTTGTTCTTCCTTAGCCTCTTCCCCGTGGTGAATTAGCATCCGCATATCAGAGAAAACATTTGACCTTTGGTTTTTGGGATTGGCTTACTTCACTTAGCATGATATTCTTCAGCTCCATTTGTTACCAGCAAATGTCATAATTTCATTCTTCTTTAAGGTTGAGTAATTCATATGTGTGTGTGTGTGTGTGTGATATATTACATTCTTTTTATCCATTCATCTGTTGAATGGCACCTAGGTTGGTTCCATAGTTTAGCTATTGAGAATTGAGCTGTTATAAACATTGATGTGGCTGTGTCCCTGTAGTATGCTGTTTTTAAGTCCTTTGGGTATAGACCAAGGAGTGGGATACCTGGGTCAAATGGTGGTTCCATTCCAAGTTTTCTGAGGACTTTCCATATGTTTTCCATAATGGTTGCACAAATCCTCATTCCCACCAACAATGTATGAATGTACCTTTTCCCCTACATTCTCTCCAACATTTATTGTTGTTTGTATTCTTGGTAATTGCCATTCTGACTGGGGTGAGATGAAATCTTAGAGTAGTATTGATTTGCATTTCTCTAATTGCTAAAAATATTGAACATTTTTTCATATATTTATTTATTGATTGAATTTCTTCTTCTGTGAAGTGTCTGTTCAGTTACTTGCTGACATATTTAATGCTGCTTATTATCATTCTTTTTTCAAGAGCATGGACCACAGGTGAGACATAGTAACAGCCTAACCACAGCTTTATTTGATCCTGTTCTAAGAAATGATGCAATTTGTATCTTTCAGCTTAAAAGGTTCATTATGGAATTTTAAAATTCTGTTTTTATACATGTTTTTTCTATACAAGTCAAACTTGAATAGTCTGCAGAGTATCCCAAACTTTTTATTGGGGGAAAAAATGAAACCACTCATTTGTGTGTCAGCCCTGTATGAGCCATTTCTTGTGGAAACGACTCATATTTTATCTTTTCTTCATCACAGAGTGGAAAACCACCCATCAATGATATGTTCACTGACCTCAAAGATGGAAGGAAGTTATTGGATCTTCTAGAAGGACTCACAGGAACATCACTGGTGAGAGGAGTCATCTCTGAGAATGAGACTAACAGATTATCTTTGGTCATTACTGACTCTTGGAGACCTATTGTGGGTATTTAAAATGTAAAGGCTGCAGAAGAACATTTTTAAAAGCTGTGCTTTGATAGAGCAGCATTTAGGCAGCATTTAGGCATCTATTTCTATCCAGGATTTCAGTATCAACTTTGTGTTTGCTTCTTTATCAAATTTAACTCTATTACTTTATGTGTAAGGTTCTGTGTTTTCTCATGGATATAACMCTCTTGAAGATAATGTATTTTGTGGGTATAAACTTTTTTTTTGTATAAATTTTTACACCAGAGGCAGAATTACTGTAAAGGTATAGAGGGATGTGCTCCTGCAAAGATGAATTCTTTTCTTGCCAAAGCATGGATGTGACACTCTCAGTCCCTCCAGGTGGTAGCCAGGCATATGGTGGAGAGGCAGATCCTTCTCCCGGATAAGATTCCCTGGCCATTGAGGTGGAAGGAAGCTGCTCAGGTTACCTGACCCCAGGTGGGGAAGTTCTACCTTCCAGGTGGATCTCGAACTAGTGCCAGGAAACACGGGCTGGTGCTTGGAATCCCCTTTGCTTTGTGGTTCATTCACACCTGTGCAGAACAGAGGGGACCCCCTTCTCCTGTATCTTTATACATCCAGATCCATTTAGATAAAGAAGGCTTTATTCTATAGCATGGGTTCCCAAATGTGTCTGCCTGTTAGAATTACCAGGGAAATCTTTTACAGGTTCCAAACCCACACCACATTCCAGAACCATTAAGTCACAGTCTTTGAAGGAGGGGGAGACACAACCATTAGTAATTTTTGAAGCTTCCCAGGACATTCCAATGTGCAGACAAGTTAGCGAATCAGTATTTTAAGATATTATTAGTTGGGGGATTTKCATCACATAAACTCTAGTGTCTAGGGTGGTGGCCCAGGCTTTGGGGCTCCAAGGATGTGGGATGCAGCTTGCTGAGCTGCTGTTTCACATACATTTGAGTCTTTGTTGGTCAGGCATATGGAGGGATACTGGGTCTTACTTGCTTTTGTATTTTACTTTCCAGCCAAAGGAACGGGGTTCCACGAGAGTACATGCCTTAAATAACGTCAACAGAGTGCTGCAGGTTTTACATCAGAACAATGTAAGCTTGTAAAGTGACTTCTAGGGTTTGGTTCTGCCATCTGCATTATTTATTGCGAAACCAGCTTCCTATGTTATGCATTGACGTCAACTGATTCTTAGAAATGTCTTTTTTTTTTTTTTTAATTGAAAGTATTGGATCTTTTCTACGAGTGAAGGAACAGTCACGGGCTCTTTCTGATGGCTTTATTGATCTATCATAAAAATAATATACTTTGAGATGTAGGTTTGCCTAATTCTCTAATATGAGATTTCTTTTATCTCTCATTTATATTGTTGGGTAAATGTATTACATTGAAAATCTGGATTTCTCTGAAGAAATTGTTGTAAAAGATATTTTTTTTTCCATCTTGACAGGTGGAATTAGTGAATATAGGWGGAACTGACATTGTAGATGGAAATCACAAACTGACTTTGGGACTACTTTGGAGCATCATTTTGCACTGGCAGGTGGAGAAATTTCCAATCACCTTTGAATAGAAGATTTTGAAAATGTATTTTTGTGTATTTATTTCCTAGGGGTGCATTGACAAAGTACTAATCTGCTGGGTTAGAACAGAAATTCATTGTCTTGCAATTCTGCAGTCTGGGAATATAAGTTCAAGGTCTCCAGGGGGTTGAGTCCTTCTGAGGGTTTTGAGGGAGACTCTGCTTCTTACTTGTCCCCCAGCTTCTGGTGGCAGTTGGTGATCTTTGGTCTTTGTTGGCTTGTGGCAACATAGCTCCAATCTTCACAGGACACCTTCCCTGTGTGTCTGTGTTCATGTTTCCTGATTTAGTTAAGGACACAGCCATATTGTATTTAAGGCCCACCCTGCCCCAGAATGACCACTCTACCTTAACTGATTACATATCCAATGACCTTATTTCCAAGTAAGGCCCTGTTCTGAGCTACTGGGGGTTAGGACTTCAATGTCGGGAATTTGAGAGGACACAATTGGACTCATATAGCAGTTTGGAATGGAAGACGCTGACAAGCTGCTCTGTTTTCTGGAATAAGAAAAGGGAGTATCTATTTTTCTTATAGTGAATGAAAGAAATTAACAAAGCTTACAGAAGAGTTGCAAGAATCATTTAAGATATTTGCAAATATCCTCATTCACATTCCCCAAATGGCAACAGTTTCCCTTATTTCTTTTGCTCATTCTCTCTCTCTGTCTAAATGCTTCTGTGTGTATTTCTAAAAATRTGGCATCCTCCTAAAACCCAGGAGCTCTTTTACATAGCCATAATATAATATTAATATAGCAATATAAAAATGTATAATATAAAAAATGTATAGTATCAATATTTATAWTTTTTATATTATAATACAGTAATTTATCCATCCATCCATCTTCCCTTCTCTCAATGTATTATTTTGTGTATCAGCAGATATATCATGGAATTTACATATATTTATAATCTTTTACTACTGTTAATCATTTTGATGCTTAAGTTGTCCTAGATATGGCTAGTGTGAGCCCCTTAAGTTTGCTCTTGGGTCTTTTTGGTGTTTCCACAACATTTCTTAAAGCACATATATTACTTTAGGATAATAGTATAAAATGTTCATTCTGGAATAAAACTGTCACTGTTATCATTCTTTGATTTTGTAGGCAGTCAAAAGTTCTTCCTTTAAAAAAAAGGTTCTTTTCTCATTTTTTAATAGAAAATAAATATTGGGTTTTCTTCGTACTAAAAGACCTTTGCAAGTGAAGTGTGTAAAATGTGACTTTTATGTTGCWATGACAGTAATGCTCATTGTAACCAAACAGTACAAGTAGGGTTTTAGATGTAGAAAGTACAGTAATGTATAAAATTAAAACACCATCTGCAAGTCCTAGTACCCACAAATAATCCCAGTTGTAGTTCTTTTTCCACTGTTTGAAGGAAAAAATTTGAAATCAAGATAAATGCCAATCACCAGATCCATAATGGTAACTTAGAGTCATACTCTTTGTCAGGGACTTGATTGACGTGACCATGAAGTTACAGGCAGGTGTGGTTTCTCTTAAATAGGTAAAAGATGTCATGAAGGACATCATGTCAGACCTGCAGCAGACGAACAGTGAGAAGATCCTGCTGAGCTGGGTGCGGCAAACCACCAGGCCCTACAGCCAAGTCAACGTCCTCAACTTCACCACCAGCTGGACTGACGGACTTGCCTTCAATGCTGTGCTCCACCGACACAAGTAAGACGTCTCTTAAGTTAGAAGAGGGCTTTCCACACTTGCATGTCCTCTCTGGCCCTTCTTTGTCCTTTGCKCCAAAGCTCCTTCCCCACAATCTCTGCTCTCTTCATTGCACTTGCTCAGCCAGAACATGAAGAAAAGAACTGTCATGGAAGAAAACCACCCATGGAGTCTCCAAATGCCACAGTGCAATGTCCATGATTTCTCCTACATATTTATAACTTAAAAAATGTAAGATAATTCACATAGTTCAATCCCACTCATTCAGCCTTCAGTAATACATACAAAGAATTGTGTTCATTTCTATTCTTATAGCAAAAGTAAAACTATGTATTCAATGTAATCCCAATTAAAAATAACCGCATAATTTTTCTCATGAAACTTGTAAAAAGATTCTAATTTGTCTACAAAAGTACAAAGGTTCCAGAATAATCCAGAGTACACTGGAGAAGAATTAGGCTGGAATATTTCCCCAAAAGAAACTATGAAGCTGTATGATTTAAGATTATGCAGTGCTATAAGTAAATAAAGTAACATAATAGATAGAATCATGTGAAATTGCCAATACTTGACTGTTTTTGATGTATAAAAATGGTGGCCATATGATTCATCCTAACCAAATAAAGAGCTCAGAAATTTCTCCATTACTTAGGAAAAACTGATAAAAATTTGAACTGATATTGCACATTAATAGACAGTATGGGACAGTTGGTAATCCATAAGTAAATAAATGCATTGCATTCTTATCTCCCCCTACCTCCCCCTCCCAAAAAAATAAATTCTGCATGGATCAAGGATTTAAATGCCAAAGGCAAAGTTTGTTATGTTTTATTGCWATTGTAAATTATTCATTTTCTCGTTTCATTTTTTCTGCAATGTTCTTGGCTGGTATATAAAAATGCAGTAGATTTTTTTACATTTTATATCTGGAAACTTATTAAATTCTTCTGAATTTTAGTAAGTTTGTCTCTGTGGGCCTGTGGGAGATTTTTTTTTCCT